GGTGGGGTTATTTGATTGATGGGCCCATCTATATACCCTCCCTCTCAGTGCGTGTGTCCTTTCCCATGATGAAGCGTGTTTGGGGCAGTCCTTTTGTTCCACAGTGCGATCAGGTTTGGGCCAGTTCGGTCTGGTCCTGATAGGCAAGTAAGTTATATCCCTGTAAAGCCTTTGTTGGCTTCACAGGGGACCCCCTACCTCGACAGAATTTGGGCAGTTTTTCCTTGAACCTTATCGCCTTGCCCGGCTGATCATGTCTTATCTTTCTATGTAACACCTCCACTCCTGGAATGTCCAATTCTTTTCACATGCAGTCCAGAGGAGAGACTGAATCCTAGTAGGTGACTGAGGCTTGCTAAAATAGGTCTCCTTTCAATCTAGCTAACAGCAGCTGAGTAAGACTTTCAAAGATAGGTAAGACTGGATTTTGTTTCTGGGAGAAATGTTGCATTTAAAGACTACTAAAGCTGACTGTTAGAGTCATTTGCTTCAGCTTTTATTATTTGATCAGTATAGATTTTAGGGAGAGTAATAGTAAAAGAATTTTAGGCTTTTTTAGGCATAGTATCAAACTCAAAATTCACCAACCTGTGTGGAGGGAATACATGATGAATGCAGACCCAGATTGCCAATATATTTTTGTTGGGAACAGGAGAAAGACCAAAAAAGTTGTATTCCAAACTGAAGAATACAAATCTAACCTGTGTAGTCTTTGAACAATTTGGCCAGAAGAAAGACGCAGTCCATTTTTTTGCTTACTTTCCAGGTAAGAAACCCCGAAGCCTCTAACCTCTACGCTTCCTGCTCCTTGCCCTAACACCAAAAAAAATAAAAAGAGCGAGGGAGAGAAACCTATAGCTTAAAGTATGGAGTCTTCTGGAGAAGCACTTTTATGTGTATTCTTTTTATCATGATATTAAGGCATGAAAAAACATGGCTTTAAAAAATTATGGTAAGATATCTATAACAAAACTTACTGATTTGGTCATTTTTGAGTGTGCAGTTCAGTGGCATTACTCACATTGTTGTATAGCTATGACTACCATCCATGTATGTATAACTTTCTCATCTTCCCAAACTGAAACTCTACCCATTAAACACTAGCTCCCTATTCCCTCTCCCTGCCGCCTCTGACAACCATTTTGCTTTTTGTCTCTTACAATTTGATTACTGTAGCTACCTCATATAAGTGGAATCATAATTTTTGTCCTTTTGTAACTAGCTTATTTCACTTAGTGTAATGTCTCTAGATTCATCTATATTGTAGTATGTGTCAGAATTTTCTTCCCCATTAAGGCTAAATAGTATTCCATTGTATGTGTACTAGTCACTGTCCATCAGTGTAGTAAGATGTTACAGAGTCACTACTTGTCTTCTCTGTATATACCTTCCCCGTGTCCCCCCCACTACATTATGTGTGCTAATCATAATAGAAATCATGAATTCTTACATGGTTTACAATACAATCAATAACTTATTGACTGATTAATTCATTAATTTACTTCTTATTATATCTAAATTTTCTTAAATGGGTACAATTTAAAGAATCTAATAGAATGTTAAACTAAAGTTATCACCCAAGTTAACTCAGTTGTCAGTACAGTTATCCAAGTTATTGAAAAACAAATGAGCTGGTTTATGGACCACTAAGACCCTTTAGTTTTCATTTTCTCTCTCTCTGCCCCCAACCATTGTTAGTGCTTCGTAGCACCACCCATCAGTGAACCTACTAGTCATGATTAATGTCAAATTTATTATAAAATTTGGTCATGATGGAGGCTAAGGTTAAACATCTATTGGAAGAGGTATATTGTGGATTTTAGTTTATCTTTCTGCTCACAAGTGTTTTTCAGGATAAAATGAAGCTGTTTTTAGTTGACACTACAATGCCTTTTCTGTTAAATATGTCAAATTTTGTAAAACAAAAAATACTGACATACTATCATATTATACTAGTATTGTTTTTGGTGATTATAGATTTAGTAGAATTGAGATCTATATGCTAATGAAGAAACAAATGATATTTTGGGGAAATTGGCCTGTGTAATGGTACCAACATCATGAGTTTTCTTGGTCTGATTAGACTGTATGTAGAACATCAAACTGATACACTATTATGAATAAAATTTCTGAAAATTCCATAATTTTAAGTCATTACCCCAAGTAACCACTAGAGGGGACATACTTTTGTCTAGTTATACTTTTCCCAGAACTAAAGGATTGAGATGTTGTGACTGTTGGTCCATCATGATCCCCAAATGAACAGAAATGCATAGTGGCTGTTAAGAATATCTTATTCCACTGGGCTCATGAACCATCATGCTTCTCAGCCCTTCTGTTATGGGTTGAGTTTGTTCTCCTCGGTCCTTGCTCCTGCCACAGCAAAGAACTGAAAGACAGAGACACAATAGCGAAGCAGAGAGAAAGTTTTACTTGAGTACACTCCAAGGGAGGAGCAGGCCAGAGTAATGGTAGACGAAGACCTCATCCATTAGGCAGGAGGCCTATGTATTGCCCACTGGTGAGGAGGCCCCTCTTTGACTGACAAGGTGGGGTTATTTGATTGATGGGCCCATCTATATACCCTCCCTCTCAGTGCGTGTGTCCTTTCCCATGATGAAGCGTGTTTGGGGCAGTCCTTTTGTTCCACAGTGCGATCAGGTTTGGGCCAGTTCGGTCTGGTCCTGATAGGCAAGTAAGTTATATCCCTGTAAAGCCTTTGTTGGCTTCACAGGGGACCCCCTACCTCGACAGAATTTGGGCAGTTTTTCCTTGAACCTTATCGCCTTGCCCGGCTGATCATGTCTTATCTTTCTATGTAACACCTCCACTCCTGGAATGTCCAATTCTTTTCACATGCAGTCCAGAGGAGAGACTGAATCCTAGTAGGTGACTGAGGCTTGCTAAAATAGGTCTCCTTTCAATCTAGCTAACAGCAGCTGAGTAAGACTTTCAAAGATAGGTAAGACTGGATTTTGTTTCTGGGAGAAATGTTGCATTTAAAGACTACTAAAGCTGACTGTTAGAGTCATTTGCTTCAGCTTTTATTATTTGATCAGTATAGATTTTAGGGAGAGTAATAGTAAAAGAATTTTAGGCTTTTTTAGGCATAGTATCAAACTCAAAATTCACCAACCTGTGTGGAGGGAATACATGATGAATGCAGACCCAGATTGCCAATATATTTTTGTTGGGAACAGGAGAAAGACCAAAAAAGTTGTATTCCAAACTGAAGAATACAAATCTAACCTGTGTAGTCTTTGAACAATTTGGCCAGAAGAAAGACGCAGTCCATTTTTTTGCTTACTTTCCAGGTAAGAAACCCCGAAGCCTCTAACCTCTACGCTTCCTGCTCCTTGCCCTAACACCAAAAAAAATAAAAAGAGCGAGGGAGAGAAACCTATAGCTTAAAGTATGGAGTCTTCTGGAGAAGCACTTTTATGTGTATTCTTTTTATCATGATATTAAGGCATGAAAAAACATGGCTTTAAAAAATTATGGTAAGATATCTATAACAAAACTTACTGATTTGGTCATTTTTGAGTGTGCAGTTCAGTGGCATTACTCACATTGTTGTATAGCTATGACTACCATCCATGTATGTATAACTTTCTCATCTTCCCAAACTGAAACTCTACCCATTAAACACTAGCTCCCTATTCCCTCTCCCTGCCGCCTCTGACAACCATTTTGCTTTTTGTCTCTTACAATTTGATTACTGTAGCTACCTCATATAAGTGGAATCATAATTTTTGTCCTTTTGTAACTAGCTTATTTCACTTAGTGTAATGTCTCTAGATTCATCTATATTGTAGTATGTGTCAGAATTTTCTTCCCCATTAAGGCTAAATAGTATTCCATTGTATGTGTACACCACGTTTTGTTTCTGTCTTTGTTAAAATGGACACTTGGGTTGTTTCTGCCTTTTAATTGTTGTGAATAATCTGCTATGAACAGAAGTGTACAAATACCTGTTTGAGACCTTGCTTTCTATTCTTTTGAATATATGCACACAACTAGAATTTTTCAAGAAACTGCCATGCCATTTTCCACAGCAGTTACTTCATGTTACATTCCCACCAGCAATGCCCAACAGTACCAATTTCTCCACCTCCTACCCAACACTTGTTACTTTCTGCTTTATTCTTAATAGCCATTCTAATGTGAATGAAGTGATATCTTTGGTGGCTGTGATTTGCATTTCCATAATAGTTAGGTTAAGCGTATTTTCATGTGCTTATTAGCCATTTATGCATCTTTGAAGTCTTTACCCATTTTTAAATTAGGTTGTTTATATTGAGTTGCAGGTATTTCTTATATATTCTGGACATTAATCTTTCATTAAATAAATTTGAAAATATCTTCTCCCATTCTATAAGTTGCATTTTCCTTTCTGTTGTGTCCTTCAATGTGTAAATTTTGAGTTTTGATGTAGTTCAACTCACCTGTTTTTTCTTTTTCCCTTTTCTTTGTGTCATATCCAAGAAATCATTGCCAAGTCTGTCATGAAGCTTTTCTCTATATATTCTTCTAGGAGTTTCATAGTTCTAGCTCTTATATTTAGGTCATTGATACATTTTGAATTAATTTTTTTATTATGTAAGGTAAGAGTCTAACTTCATTCTTTTGCGTGTGGATATCCAGTTTTCCCAGTGTCATTTGTTGAAACCACTGCTTTTTTATATTTAGTGAAAACTAATCTTCCTCCATTTGTTGACTTGATGTTACAGATCAGGGTAATGTATATTAATATCAGCCAATATCTTCAATTAGAAGATCGAATAGAAAATAACAAACATGTATCTATATGTGTATATATACATTATTAATTGAGACATCAAAAAACTTTGCTGGAGTGGATATTATTCTATGGAAACAGAAAACATTGTATGTGACTTTCTCCAAGCCATATATTTGTAAAAATGGTTTGATAAATGTGCAGCTTCTTAAAAAAGTTCTCTGAAATGAATACTTGATGTATATTTTTGTTTTGTTCCCAGGCATGGAAGAGGAGATGGTTTGTGTTACGCAGTGGCCGTTTAACTGGAGATCCAGATGTCTTGGAATATTATAAAAATGATCACGCCAAGAAGCCTATCCGTATTATTGATTTAAATTTATGTCAGCAAGTTGATGCTGGATTAACATTTAACAAAAAAGAGTTTGAAAACAGCTACATTTTTGATATCAACACTATTGACCGAATTTTCTACTTGGTAGCAGAAAGTGAGGAGGAGATGAATAAGTGGGTTCGTTGCATTTGTGACATCTGTGGGTTTAATCCTACAGAAGAAGGTAAGTTCAAGATTCTTTTATTCAACCTAAGCTCTCCTTTATTACTACATTTTTAGAACTGTTCTTAAATTCTTTATTTCAGTTATACAATATAGTATTTTGGGTTTTTTGTTTTTTATAATATCAACATTTAGAAAAAGCACTAAACCCTTCAATCAGTTTGGGAGAAACTTTTGATAGGTTTTAGAGAGCTTAACCGTCACTGGAAAGTGTCTAAATAACTGTCCCAAAGAAGACACTGACAAAAAGAAATACTAATTTAAGAGTATGTCTTGAGTTTCTATGTAAATACTAAGTCGAACCTTTTTAAGACTGCTGATATTTGATCATTTTTGGCCTACTATAAAAAAGCTTCTCAGAGAAGATAAATTGTAAATAGTGGGCTTTTGAAGGAAGTAGTATTTCTACATAAGTGACAGGAGGGATGCAGAACCTCTTGGCTTAGGGGCTAGGGAGAGAAAAGACCCAGAAGGCATAGAATTCTGCTTGACCAGAGCAGAGGCCTATGAGTGATAGAGGCCAGGGGATAGTTGCTGGAGGACCTGAGGTTGTAGTACCTCTCCTGGGAAGAGCTGAGTGATTAGAGGTCTCAAGAAGAATTTTACAAGTGGAATTCCTCCTGAGGTGCTTTTCTACAGCTGTCCAGACCATACATTCCCTGTATACTTCTCTGTTTCTCTTCCTTTTTAAACACACACTGGAAACCTATGTAAGGGCCCCACAATACAAATTTAGGCTTACAGTGCCAAGAATCAAAAGTAAAGCATCCTGTAGTCTTTGACTGTATTGTCTTGTCTTCATGGTTATACTCACGTTTACAAGTGTGAATTTCCAAATCTCTCTCTTTAGGAGTGCTGGTGATTCAGGGAGGGGTGGAAAATTGTATTAGCAGTCAACATTTAGTTTTGTATGGAAGTGAAACAGTAATCCTCTCTAATGAGCTCAGGTCAGTACCCTACTTCCTCTCTGGCCAGTCAGCAGCCCAGGAGAAGGAGCCTTCCAGGCCTGGGACTGGCCTGGTGAAGTGGGGGAAACCCCTCTGTGAGGGAATCCAGAAGGCCCAGGGGGCAGCTCCAAGACACGGAAGGAGGCAGACAGTTTAGACAGGAGGCGGCTAGTGAACTAGAGCTCTTCAGCAGAGCTCCACTTATTAAAAGCCTCTAGAAATTGTCACATGTGAAATTAAGGTTTCAGTTGTTTTTGTGAAGTTACTAAATATGTTCACATTTTAAGTGGGTGTAGGGGTATTATTTATAGCTCAGTTAAACTCTTTTCTTTCTTGTTTACATACATAGTCTATTTTTTAGTTCAGTGAAGGATTTTAAGTTAAAGTCACCAATGAGATAGCTCTCTTTTTAATAGTTATTTTAACAACCACTCGGTAATGGTAATTTCTGAATTTAGAAACATTATTTTTATGATGTGATAGATTTTCAGTCAAAATAATTTAAGTTGTATAATTTGTTGATGTTCTTTTGTCTGCTACCTTTTCAATTTAGAATCTGTATAGGGGACCTAAAGGTAGACCTTTCATGTTGGTTTCCTGTATAGATTCAGCTGATCTGAAAGACAAAATAGTAGGTGTTCTTCCATCCCTCTTTATATTCTTTATAATTCTAAATATTGCTAACAAAGGAAATGAAGATAACATTCTTCAGTCAAGGAATGTCTAATGTTTGGAAGCCAGTTCAGGGGTGGGGTAGAGTTAACCCCCTAAGTATTAATGTCTAATGCTTAAGGGTCCCATATTAACTTTGCAAGTTTTAAGGATTCTGTTCCTTTGTCCACCTTTGATTGTTACCTTCTGGGAGGTCTATGAACAGCCAGTCATCTCAGGGAAGAAGAAAAGTTTTGTCTGCTTTAGGAATTGGATTCATTAATTTACCAAATTATTTGAGTTTGCCAGCATTCTATTAGAATAGGTTGGGCATTCTATTCAACCAATATATATTAGGTGACTAGTGAAGGAGACAAAAGGCAAACATTACAGACCTGAAACTGAGCATCTAGTGGGAGACAATTCATATCTAAGTAACTTATTACACTTATTGATGAGTGCAAGCTATATATATGTATGTCTGTATGTGTGTCTGTATGCAGTCATATATATATAATTATACTTGAATATATTGAAGTATTAATATATAACATTAAAGTATAATTAAACATATACTTACGTATGATGCAATGGGGGTATATAAATACAGTTCTTGCCCTCTTAGAGCTTAGTCGACTAAAAGGAACAGGTAAATAATTTGGAAATTACAATACCAGTTGATAAATGCTAAAAAAATAAATAAACATGGATAGCAACTGATTTAGTCTTGAGAGTCAGAAAAGCCTAGGTAGTTTTAAATGGCTTTGTGTCTTTCGCTGACAATATACTGAGAACTTTATTTTTGTACTTAGCACAACATTTTCATGATACTAGTAAGAATTGGTCACTATGTCTATTTTTACTTTATAAACTTAATTAGTATAGGGAGGAGGGGAAGTTTCAAAACTTGAAACCTACGGTGGCCTTTTTAGTGCCAAAACTATCAAATCCTTTTGTCTTGAGAGGAACTCTGAATTTGTGACCTTCTTATCTTTACAGTATCCATAAAAGGGTAGGTTGTAAAAAAATGAATAGCATGACTAATCAAACTTGATGTATATGACCAGAGTTGGTTATCAGGAACAGCTTTGCTAATCATAAATTATTTTTATCTGTTTATTAAACAAGCCCCCAAGGACTTCAGCTAGCCAGTGCTTTCTAAATTTAGTTCATTAGCTAAATCTAAACACAAATGTATTTATTTTTTTTAATTCTACAATTTAGGCTTTTTTACAAGTTCATCCTGGCCATCTCTCAATAGCCATAGTTAAAATGCCTAGCTATACTGTGTTGAAGACTTGAATTTCTCATAAATCATGAAGTCATAAATAAATCACTAAGGCATAAATCAGTGAAAGATGAGCAGTCCTTCATTGTGTAGTATCAGGAAGTCACAAAAATATTTTATTTTACTCTTAATTTGTTTTCTGATACACAGTAACAAAACTACAAAAAGGCTTTAAAGTCAGCAAGTATATGTCCTTATTCATTTCTAGTAGCTGACTTTTCTGGATACCTCTTTAAAAACATCCACGCATTTAAAGATTCATATCATATTCTAAACTGTACAAAACTGCTGTTATTCTCTGTTTAGTATGATAAGATAAATATCAAAATGACTTTGTTCTGTTAACTTTACTACTTGCTGTATGTATATTCTCTTACCCTACAATAGATCTCTCTACCAATCACTAAATAATAGGTGTTTCAGTTTTTACCTAGATCTGTCCCCTGAGTCCTGTGTTCTCCCTATTTCAAAGAGCTGAATATGCCCCGACTCTTGGCTTAAAATTAATAACCCAAAATAACCCAAAATGATTTTTCACTCTATTAGTTTCAGGCTAGATGTGGGAAGAAATAGACTCTGCTTGGATATTACAGTCTGAGAAAATAACTATCCCCAGTCCCTATGAGAATAACTAATTTTCTCTTGCAAACAAAAGGAAAGGGGAAAAATCTGACCTGTGTTTTGATTCCAGGAACCTCTCAAAATATCATTACCATGTTATTTCCGCTGCCCCAGGTGACCACTGCTATTATTGGCAACTTGGAATGCTGGCAGGCTGAGTCTGTTTTTAAATTCTAGCTCATTGAACTGTGTGTGGTTCCTACAAATGCTTTTATTTAGTAGATTTGAGGGTAGAAACTAATTTCCTTTGTTTTTCTTGGAAATGTGCAAATTTATTTTGCTTCTATACTGAGGTGGAAGCTGTTACACCTGCTAAACAAGGGCACAACCTGAAAGCTGTACACAATAACTAACTAGGAGCAAAGGCCCCTGGTCTGATTTCAGAGTCAAGATTAGAAAGTTGTCTCTTACCAGTTGAGTTCTTTTCTCAAAATGCTCAAATAATAGTGCCTTAAAAAAACTGGCATGATTCTGTTTGATATCCTCCCCTTTGGAAAAGTAGGTAAGCCGACATGTGAGAACATACCCATGCTCTCTTTCCCATGAAGCAGGACCTCTTTATCAGGGAACTCATATTTCTTTTTGTAACTTCTTATTCAGGTGGAACTTACTACTGTACAAGGCACCTATTTTAAGTGTACAGTTCAATAGCATTTTTCATATTCATCTCTGTCTATACATAGAAACAGAAATCTGTCTAACTGCCACCCAGATCAAGAATGGAACATTTCCAGTCTCCCAGAAGGTTTTCTCATGGTTCTTCCCAATAAAAACTCAGAAAAAAAGTTCAAATGTCTTCTAGCACCATAGATTAGCTTTGCCTATACGTGAACTTCTATATAATTAAAACCATTGACTCTGGCTTCTTTCTTCCAGTATTAAGTCTGTGAGATTCATCCACATAGCATGTAGCAGGAAGGCCTTCATTCTGTGCTATAGCATTCCATTGTGTGAATAAATCACAAATTACTGATCTGTTCAAATGTTCTATGGGCCTTTGGGTTGTTTCCAATTTTTAATTAATACAGATAAAGCTGTTGTGAACATTCTTATATGTGCTTTATTTGATGGCCATGAACAGTTCTGTATAGCCATGAGTGGACCACCTGCTCCATCATAAGATACAAATGCATAGGGCAGAGCCAAGATGGCGGCGTGAGTAGGACAGTGGGAATCTCCTCCCAAAAACATATATATTTTTGAAAATACAACAAATACAACTAATCCTAAAAGAGAGACCAGAAGATACAGGACAACAGCCAGACTACATCCATACCTGCAAGAACCCAGTGCCTGGTGAAAGGGGTAAGATACAAGCCCTGGCCCAGCAGGACCCGAGCGCCCCTCACCCCAGCTCCCGGCGGGAGGAGAGGAGTCGGAGCAGGGAGGGAAAGGGAGCCCAGGATTGCTAAACACCCAGCCCTAGCCATCCGCACCAGAGTGCAGACACAGTGCATGCATGGAGTGCTGGAAACTAGGGAAATGGGGCAGCAA